GGAACCCGCACCCCGAGGCGGGCCTGAACCGGGGGGACCCGCAGCCTGAACCGGCTGCACCCCGAGCCGGGAGGGACCCGCATCCCGCTCCGGTCCCCAGCGGGGAGGGACCCGCATCCCGAACGGGCTCCGGTCCCGCGTCCCCAACCGGCTCCAGTCCTGAACGGGGAGGGACCCGCATCCTGCTCCGGTCCTGAACCGGGGAGCACCTGCACCCCGACCCAGCTGCCCCCAAACCGGGAGGGACCCGCATCCCCCTCCAGCCCTGAACTGGGAGGGACCCGCACCCCGAGCCGGCTGTGCCCTGAATCGGGAGGAGTCTGCGCCCCGGTGAAACTGCAGCCAAGCCCGGAGGGACCCGCACCCCAAACCAGCCATGCACCCCGAACCGACTGCACCCTGAACCGGAAGGGTCCTGCACCCCAAACCGACTGCACCCTGAAGCAGGTGAGTCCTACGCCCCGAACCAGCCCTGAACTGGGAGGTACCCGTGCCCTGAACCAGCCATGCACCCCGAAGTGGCTGCCTGCTGACCCAGGAGGGACCCTGCACCCCAAATTTGTCCCCTGATCCTGCCGTACCTTAAAGCAGGAGGGACCTGCACCCCAAAACCTCCGTGCGCCTGGTCTGGCTGCATCGTGACGTGATGGATAACGCCCTGCCGCTGGAAGCGGAGCTGGATCACCGGTGGCTGCTCAACGCCTCCTTCAACGAGTCCTTCGCCAACCAGTTCGTGCAGCCCCCGTGGCAGGTGGCCCTGTGGGCTGTCGCCTACGCCCTCATCGTGGTGGTGTCGGTGGTGGGGAACGTGGTGGTGATGTGGATCATCCTGGCTCACAAGAGGATGCGCACCGTCACCAACTACTTCTTGGTGAACCTGGCGTTTGCCGAAGCCTCCATGTCCGCCTTCAACACGGTGGTGAACTTCACCTACGCCATCCACAACGAGTGGTACTACGGGCTGCTCTACTGCAAGTTTCACAACTTCTTCCCCATCGCCGCCGTCTTCGCCAGCATCTACTCCATGACGGCCATCGCCCTGGACAGGTGAGCTCTGAGCGGGACACCCCAAACCCTCCCTGGCACCCCGATCTGTCTTCACCTGGGGGCTGGGCTCAGCTCCCTCGGAGCTCTGGTCATGGGGGAACACTATGATTAAAAATAAACCTCCCTTGGGGAAAAGAGCGCTAAAAATAATCCATCTCCCCGCCCTGGCTGCAGGTGGCTTTGGGAATCCTTTGTCAGCTTTACGAAAGGAGCTCGAGAAAAGGTTTTGTAACCCCCGTGCGTGTCGGTAGCGTGTCTGGGGCGTGTATTTGTAGCATCGCTGTTCGCTCCCTTCCCAGCTCCCCTGCAGAACCGTCCATTCCCTTCCCAACCTCCTCAGTTAAAAGCAAACTCAATATTTAGCACAAAATGGCATCACCTCATGAAATAAAAGACACGCCAGCGTCGGCCGTGCCTCCGCTGCGCTGCGGGAGCTGTTTCGTGTCTCTCCATCTGGGTTGGAAACCGTCTAAGGAGCCTGGGAGAGAAGCTCGGGCTCGGGAAAGGCATCTCGACCCGGCGGGTGTGTGTTGTCGCGTTGCGTGCTGACGTTTTTATTGATTTCTATTAGTGGGGGTCAGGGGGGAGCGCTAGGTGCCAGGGATTTCTCTGGTTTAGCTGCAGCCAGCACTGTTCAGTGGTGGGTTTTTTTTTTTTTACTGCTGGTTCCTGCCGGCGCTGCCCGCTGGCTGGGGACTGTCGGCAGAGCCAGGTCCCGCTTGCGTCTGGCCACGATCAAAAGTTCAGCAAGCGCCCGGGGTTGAGGGACACAAGATAAGCCACACGCCAAGCGCCTCCAGCACGCAGCTGCCCTCTCCTCTCTTCCCCCTCCAAGAAATCTTTTATTTGACGGCATTTTCACACCAGTGCTAGAGATAGATTGAAGCTCTCAAACTGCTTTGCAATTCCCTCTTGAGTACTGGCGTTTCAAGCGCAACAGATTTTTCCAACGCAACATATTTCCTGAAGACAGCTCAGCTCTGCAACGCCTCTCTTTGGTCCTTCTTCCCAGGGAGTAAAAGACATTTTGGCTGGGGATATATGTGAAGGGGGGGGGGAAGATTTGCCTTGCCGTATGCCAGCACATTTTGAGCTGATGTCTAAGTGCTGCACAAACTGGCACGGATATTTCCCTATGAGAAATTATAGTGCTGCCACAACTCATGTGCTGACAGCTTGGGAAATAGAGCTTGAGATGATGCTCTCTAGTCCTTGGAAAACAGGCTCAGGTTTTGTTTCACTCTGGAGTGGTTGCAAGACCCTTTCCCTGAAATAAATTGGACATAGCCGAGCTCTCATACTGGAGATGTGAGGAGAATTAAGGCAATAACAAATGAATAGAGGAATACTACCACCGTGGCTCCGTTCCCACCCGATGGTGTTGCTGGCTTTGTTTCAGCAGCATCCGTGTTTCGAGGATGTTGGGGATCAGCTGGCAGAGCCCCTTTCAGGTTAGGATGAATTTGAGGAGATTATTTTATTTTTTGAATAGTTCGGGGGTTTTAGCTTTCGGTCCGCACCCCAGAATAACCAGAAAAGCAAATCTGCCAGGGGAAGCTGGAGGAACATGTGTAAAATGGGGAGCAAAGGCAGGTCTGGGAGCCTGGGGCTGAATTTTCGAGGGGAATTGGCATTTCCAGCTTTTTCCTTGCATCTACAAACCCTTAAACAGAGGTTTGGTTTTTCCCATGGCGGGGCTGCAAAACCTGTGCGTGCGGGCTTGGTTCCCCCCACCAAGAAGGACCCAAAAGAAGCTGCAGCCTCGGGGTACAAACACCTCCTGCACGGAGCTACCTGCTGCATTTCTGGGCCCCGAATTTCCAACGAGGTGGGAAATCAGGAAGGGGAAGGCAGCAAAGCCCATCCTCTGCCCCTCCAGGCAAGCAGCATGCAACAGCATCTCCAAGCACTGGAAAACTGCTTGTTTTCCCATGTCTGAGACCTGACGACAGTAACTTAAATGCGTGAAATGCAGGAACTTGTTCCCTAGAAGGGAAGAATTTGTTCTGGCAGGCGGCAAAAGAGCCGTGCTGTGCTGAAACAGGCAAAGCAAGCACCTGAATTCGGAGCAGCAGAGCCAGGTAGGCTCGGCAAAATGGGTTATAGTCACAGCCAGGACAAAGCTGAAATCAAACCTGACTGCGGTTCTGATTTCCATCAAAAACTAGGAAAGCAGAATTGAGCGTGTTCCCAAAGTGTATTAAGCCATCCAGCAGAGCGGTCGGATGTTTTTTTTTTCTGCAGGACCCGCCATGGGTTTGTGCATGACAAAAAGGTTTTTGCTTGAAGCTAGACCATCCAGTCTTTCACCAGGATTTCTTTCAACCTGGGCACAACAACTCTGGAAAAAAAAAATAAAAATAATAATCCTATAGCGAGTGTTATTCTGAACGCTGCAACAATAGCAGGAAATTCGGGAGTCGAGGCTGGCAGCTGGTAACGTCTGCTCAGGAAAAGCCGTGATGCTGCTTCTCAGCATTCTACAAAAGTGAGGACCAAGCAGCTCGCTTTGGCACTATAAAATTTGCCATGTCCTTCATTTTTGGGCCAGAGCACATCACGCATCCCCTCCCAGCTTCCAGCTCTTCCTGTGAATTCATTCACTTGAAAGAGATCGACAGAAAATCCTGAGGTTTTTTCCAATCTTCGAGGAAAAGTGAGAGCCCGGCAGTGCCTATGGTGAGTCCAAGGCAATTTGCAGCCACGTGTAGAGAAAGAAAAACAAAAAAACCAAAACCCTCTGGACATCTCTAAAGTGCAATATCTATGGCACGTAGGATGGAACATCAAACTTGTTGCATTTTCTTTCTCCTTGGGACCCGGATAAATTTCTGAGCACAACCACTTGCCCACACCATTCCCCAACTTCGGATGGAAGCTTCTGTGACAGCAGCCAACCAGGAATGCAGCCGGAGGTGAAGATCCCGGATTACTTACAGAATCCGAAAAAAAAACCAAAATCATCTCTGATCTCAAAAATTTAAGTGAGCTAAGCCGAAAACACCGCAGGCTGAACAAACCCTGATGAAAGGTGAGAGCCCTGCCGTGAGCTTGGGGTGAAGACAGACTGGGCAGCACTTGGGCTATTTAATACGAAGCCATTTCCCTTTTTCTGCAAAGTGTCCTCTGCTCTAAAGCAGCCATAAAAATGACATACAGCGGGACTAACCTCCTGCAACTCCTAGACCAACCCGCTGCTTTTGCTCATAAAAAAAAACCCCAAAAAAAAAAACCCCACCATCTCCAGCCTCCACCAGCGTCAGCGCTGCCAGACCAGCACGCAGGGCAGGGCAATCCAACTGGGATCTTCTTTATATTCCCTTTTTTATTTCCAACTGGGTTATCAAATTCTTTCGGGTGGTTTAAGGTCCATCAGTTTGCTAGCAGAAGCTGCCGAAGAAACATCAAATCTGCAAACCTTCATTCACCACCGCAGCTCCTAAAATCGCTAGTCTGCACCCGAGACCTTTTAATATCTCCCCAACCCCGTATTATTTGCAGAAGAAAAACCGGCTCAGAAAAATTATTTACTGCTTGCAAGCTTGAACTCCCAGGTTGCATGAACCAGCCGAATATCAGGAACGTATTTGCCAGCTCAGCGACCCCGTGCCTTCCCCGAGAGGTGATTACTGCAGAAAGAAACCCTCCGGAGAGGACAAATTACATCAGCGCACAGACAGATTAATTAGTCATTTACACCCTAATATAGCACCAGGGTTTTGGGTTGTGGTTTGTTTGGTTTTTGTTTTTTTTTTTAATCTTGACTTAATGGATTTCCGGGGTTTTCAGAGCAGGACTTTGATCTGCGCCCGGCGCTGCCGTAATCTTGCTCTGCTTGGGGTGGAATTTGGAAGATGGAAGAGCAAGGGGGAAGGAAAAAGAGCGCGGGGTTTAGGGCCAGCAGCCCTGCGGCACTCCTTGTGCTCCAGCTAAGCAGTAAACCAGGCAGCTTTTTGCACGCCTAAAAAAAATCAGCACTTGAACACATCAAAAAACCCCACGGAGCCGCTGGATACCCGCGAAGTGTTGGTTTCCCAGGCGGGGTTAGCCAGCAGGGGGATGGGGCTAGGGCAGGGAAGGCCTCAGTAAGGGGGTCACTGGTTTATGCCCCAGCTCCCAGCAGCAGACTGGTCTGAGGGGTATTAACTGGAATTAATCCCCCCCCAGTACCCACGAGACAGGAATTCAGCCTGTCGAAAAATAACTGACATCTCTTTTCCCCCCTTTTCCTCTTGAAAGAAGAGGCGGCTTGAAGTTCCTGTGGCAGGAAAAAGTTTTTCCCAGCAAGAGTGGTCCGAGAGTGGAACAGGCTGCCCGGGGAGGGGGGAGTCCCCATCCCTGGGGGGTTTCAGGGCCGTTGGGATGAGCTGGGGGGGATGTGGGGTAGGGGAGAGCTTTGTGGAGTCGGGCTGAGGGTTGGACTCGGTGATCCCGAGGGGCTTTTCCAACCCGAATAAAAAAAAAACAACCAAAAAAAACCCCAAACCCAGAAAACCACACAGAACTAAGGTGAATTAGTGACAGTTTGGGGGCTGGGACACGCAGGGGACTCAGGGTTTAGAGAAGGGTTTGGGGTGATCACGGTGCTCAGCTGCAGGAGTCCGAGGGCTCCCGGTGAGACATTTGGTTTATCTGATCGTGGCGGGAGGGTGTCAGACCTGCACAACTCCATCCAGCAGAGCCGTTTATTTTTCCATCAGCACATACTTGTGCTCTCGCCACAGCTCTTACTTCACCATTAGCGAATCAGCAATGAGACCGTTATCAACCTCTTCTCCTACCAGCGCAGGACCAGTCTAAGACGGGCTGTGCAGACCAACCGCCGGCTCGCTCAGGCGCTGTTCACGCGGCGGTGACTCCTCGCAGCTCGGGACTGTCCCACCGCTCGGGGTTGCAGCTCTCCCTCGTTTTTCCCGGACGCCTCGGCACAACTCGGCAGTTTCTGATCTTCCTCCCAAGGCCTGGTTCTCACCAAAGCCTTTTCAGAGGCTGTGCGGGGC